TTTTTTTCCCCTTTATCGGCATTGCAACAAGAGGTCTCAATACCATCACGGGAAATCTTCACGCGGAACCAACCTGGCAATAACTCCTCCAAGGTCATTGGATGTCGTGGCTTTTGAGGGTGGTGCACCTCCACTTTTTCCTTCTTCAAATGCTTAACGGGATTCCATTTCTTCGTTCTTTTTACCATTATTTTCCTTGTTTGTTGTTCTATTGACTCTTTTCGTGGGCTTCTTTGTGGCGCCTACGACGAGTCACCAACGTCCAGCCTTCATCATCATCAGGTTGATCAACTTCAACTTTGTTGTTCCCCAGTAATTCTTCTCCTTTACTATCTTTAAGACTGCATAATTCATCTGGAATGAATGATCCAAAGGTGATAGAGACATGGTTTGTGCTTGCTTTTTCATCTTCAAACACGGTCTTCTTTTCACGAGCTAAATCATAACTTTGCCCTTAAAGACAAAGCACTTCTCCAGAGGGTGGCTCACAAGTCGATGATATTTGTAGTAATTTGGGTCATCAGTTTTCCCAGCTTCATTTGGCCGCTTAATCTCCGGAAGCTCAATGAGATTCAACTCGAGGAGTTCTTCAAAAATTGCTGGCACATCAGAATCCAAAAATGGGTACTCCTTCCCTTGTATTTCTTTTAGAGTCAACTTTCCACTTGGTTTATCTTGAAAAGAAGTGGATTTCGTACTCTGCTTCTTGCTCACCTTCGTTGTGAACTTCACAAGTGATGTGTTGACATTCATAGCTTCTTTGTTTTCATACTTGGGTACAAGTTTGCTCCATTTCCTAACTTCTTGCTTGTCATTCCCTTTCCGAGGATCATAGATAGGCAACCTTTCATTTCCAATGGAGGCCACGCTCAATTCCATGTCATGGGCACGAGTTGCAAGTTCTTCAAATGTGCTAAGTTTGATACCTTGCACGATGTAGCACAGTCCACAATGCATACCTTGGATGCACATCTCTATGCCAGAAGCTTCACTAAGCTTGTCTTTGCAGTTGAGGCTTGCATTCCTCCAACGATTGATAAAGTCGATAACTGGTTCACCCTTCCGTTGACGATTACTCGTAAGTTCCACCATGCTCACAGTGCACCTTGTGCTATAAAAGCAATTGAAGAACTCTTACTCTAGTTGATCCCAGCTATCAATAGATCTCGCCTCGAGGTCTGTATACCAATCAAAAGCATTTCCTTTTAGTGAAGGGACAAACTGCTTAACGAGGTGTTGCCGACAAACGCACACGCAAGTATACGCGGTCGTCAAGTAATAAAGTGACTAAAAGTCGGATGTCGATCCCACGAGGACTTGTATTTAACTATTAACTAAATTAGACTATCCTAATTATCTAAACACGAATTAAACCTAGAAATATTTGATTCAAAACTAATTAAAATAAATAAAAACAAATAATGAACTTTGGACAGAGAAAGAGCAGATTTTTATGATATCAATGTAATGAAAACGATCTAGGGTTATGGGCTATCTAACATTCCTATTCTATTCTTCAATTGAATTGACTAACCAATTTATCTAGTTTATTGGTTGACAGGGTTAATATTGCTCATAAGAATCTATCGAGTTCTTACTCACCTATTCAAGCTAACCTAACACCTATATGTCTATGGAGTTAGAATCAACAAGAACGCATTTATAATTCTTGTAAATCAACCAAGCAAGACAATTAGGTATATGTCTATCCTAACCGCGAATCCGTTCCCCGAGGCCCAGGTTCAAGAACTTGTTCTACTTAATCCTATATGCAATCTAGAATTCCCACTTTCGAGTTCAACTCTAGATTCGTAGATAGTATTCAATTGGTGATCAAGCAATCAAATAATTAAGTGCAAGATTTAATAAATAAACCAATATGATAAACTAAGAAATCAAAATCAATATCTGAATAACAATAGTCATGAAAGAACCACAACCCTAGAACGTGAAGTTTAGCTCCACATAGACATGGTAGCAAAACAACAAATCATACAAAGAAACATAAAAAACTAAGTTGGTGGAAGAAAAGATAAAACCCGACCTCCACGGCTGCTCTATGCTCTCCCTTGGTCAAAAGTTATATAAAAATTGTGTTTAAGGACTATTTATAGATGTAAGATAAATGTCTAGGAGAAATAACCAAGTCCAAAACAAAAAAGGAGACAAAATAAACTTGAAACTCGGACCACGCGTTGCCACATGAAAAGCGCGACGCACCTCGCGTCAAATCGCGCGTCGCAAGTCTTAACGCGAGAGACACTGGCTTGCGTCACCTGCTCCTTGATTTAATTGCTGCCTAACTTTTCTTTTTCACGTTTTTTTCCCTCTTTTCCAATTGTTCTTTTGTTTACTGCTTCAATTTGTCTTCAATCATTGCATATCCATTAATTAAAATCATCCATTCTTGTAGTGTATAAAATACACATAAATTTTCTACTTTAATCTCAATTTCATCTTCAACATACCTACATATAAAATAACTCAATTAAGCACAAATATCGTATAGTTTAGCATTAAAGCACCTAAAATGTAAGGTAAGTAATGCATTAAAAATACATAGTTATAGCCAAACATCACGAGGTAATCTCTATAAGTCCCAGCATTGTTGTATGTCTCAACGAAGTATGCCACATGTTGCTTTGGATTACCTATTCCATCAAATTGTTAAAACTCTGGAGGTTGATAGCCAGCAGACATCTTCAACATATCGATCCTCGCAGTATATGGCTTTGCGTATGTAAGAGAGGAATTGGTAACAACTTCGTACTTGCTTTTAATAGTTCCTTCAATGAACTCCTTCAGTTGATCGATTGGAATCATCCCTTCAGATGAGACAGGGATAGCCTCTACTTGTCTTGGGGGAGAATTACTCTCTGGAACCTCTGGGAGCTTGCCAGGTGCATGAGTAGATTCTTATTCTATCAAGATTCCCACCCTGTCTATTAGCTTGTCAATTCTAGCATCTTGATTTTGCAAACACTTAGTCAAGCCAGCGATCGCTTCCGTCAAGTTTGCCAACTGCTCTTCCACAGATGAAGTGTTTGTCATTATGGCTTGCATGATTGTTGTGGATGATGAGGAGTAGCATGGACTGTGACATAGATTAATTTTCGAGTGGCTCATGCTATGCGGTGTAAGATGGGAGGATCTATCACTTGAAGCATCATCATCTTCCTTTATAGCAGAGTTCTTGGATCCCTAGAGGTCAAGCAGAGCAAGAGTTTTCTTAATCTTTTCAGCAACATCGCTTCCTTCTTCAGGTGCGTTTGTGGAAGATCTTGCTCCCTTTGAGGATGAAGATCCGAAAACAGGGATTGATGCGGACGACACTTGGAGTGCTTGTTGTCCTAAAGAGCTTGCCTTGCTCCTTGTAGTTGGTCCAAAGCTTCCAAAGGTAACATCGAGGATGCTTTCCATATCAGCATCAAATTTGGAATTAGCAGCCTTGGTGAAAGTTGATCCGGAGTTGATTTTCTTTGAAGCCATTTCGATGTTCTTGAACTTTGGTGATTGAAAAGTTGAGATGAGAGGTAGAGATTGTCCAACTGGGCGTGCCAGAATTAGTAGAAAATAAATTGCACCGAGAAAATAAAATCAAGACCAAAAAAATATTGCAACAATCGTAGTATTTGATTTCAAATTATATGAGTGTACAATCTCTACGAATTCTCTGATTTTTCCTTTCCAATAGAAAATAAATTCAAGGCCTTCTAGCTTGATCTTGCTATATTATTGCCACGAACGACGATCTTGAATTCAACTAGCACGAACTTTGATTTGAACTCGTACTCCTTGAACCTTGATTTGTTCTTCGTTCTTGAGCTTGAACTTGATTTCTTGAACTTGAACTTGATAGCTTGAAGCTTGAAACTTGTAGAGAAATTTGCGGTGTTTGATCCACGAGCTCTCTCTTGCTTGTCTGGGCCGATCCGGTTAACCGGTTGAAAATAGGTGAACAGACCAACCCCCCTTACCCCTTTAACCCAGCCCCACCCGGCCCCCTTGTACCGGTCCGGGTCGGTTTTAACCGATCTGGGCCGGTCCGATTACGGTTAAACCTGGCCCGTTAGACACCCCTACTTTATATGATTTGATTTATTGTTTAATGGTCACAGCACGTACATCTGTAACTTAGAGCCCGTTTGGCCAAATTGATAAAAACTACTTATTTTGAAAACTATTTTTTCGAAAAAGTATTTTTGGAGTTAGTAGTTTGTGTTTGGCCAATTCATTTGAGAAATACTTTTTGAGATATTTTATAAATAAACTATGTTTGACCAATCTTTCTAAAAAGTATTTTTGAGTATCAAATTATGAAAAATGACAGTAAAGATTTCGTTTACAGTTAGCATTATCTAACATAGAAAATTTTAAAATATTTATTATAAAAAAATTAGATTAACTTTTTGTCTTTATTTAATAAAAGTATAAAACATAAAATAATATATAGTAAAAATTTAATCAATATAAAATATAACTATATAATAGCAATAATATTGGTTGAAAGATATGTACTTACAAGTTACATGTAAGAAAAGCACTATTAATTCTTGAGAAAATAACAAACTAGGCAGAATTTTATTATGTCAACTATATTATATGCATGTACTATATATTTAATCAACTACAAACTAGGGAGAATAACTATATATATATATATATATATATATATATATATATATAAAATACGATAAGCTGCGATCATATTGTATTTGTATACTACAAAAGGAAAAAAACGTATACCTTTTGAAGAAAGTGCTTGAATCTGGTAATTAACATTGTTATTGCAAAGAGTAATAGAATGCGAGAAAAATAAGAAACGTGTCACGCCCTAAAATTACGTGATCGGCACTCGGTACTTTACCTGACCGGAGTGAACCATCCCATAAATTAATACTTATCTATATGCCGAATAGGGGAATGTGAAATCCTCTTCAAATATAATCATTTTAAGATATAAAATAAAACATGAATAATATCTTTAAGTAAATATTTTCCTTTGAAAGAAAACTTTATTACGATAAAAGAAAGTTTCATTCATGCATGCCATATGAGTAACCATAGGATTTACAACCCAAAAATGAATACTACTATTGTCTATGGAATCTCTATGACAAGGAATGAAATAGTCAACTAAGGCAAAACCCAATGGCTCAAATGAATAATAATACAATAAAGTCCTCTACGATTACAAGTGTGGAGTCTCACAAAAAAATGTCAACAGATAATGTTGAGCTATCCTATCCACGCGGTTCAAGCTGCTAAGGTCCAGTTCCTCAAAACAGAAATAGAAATATGGCCGAAAGGCTTAAGCTCCACATGCCTAGTACGAGTCATGAACCGCTACCCAAAAACAAATAGGACAAGACTTAAGAAGATAGTATAAGATATGCAATAACAATTGATATAAGAAAGAAGCATTTATATCAATTAATAATTTAGAAAATAAAATAAAATAATAAGGTAAAATATATTTCAAAGTCTTCCTTTAGCATTAATCTTTACAGAATCATGTTAGATTTTTCATTTATAGGGAGCACTATACCATCACCGACACAGAAGAAAGTCAACTAGGTTATGTTCCTAGCGACAAGTATCATATACCTTACTTGCTCATGTTGTTTCATCGTTCTGTCACACGAATCGACTCAGCAATGCTAATAAAGTAGAAAAATAGTTACCCCCCCCCCCTTCATGGGAAGTACTCTGTCGTAGTTCCCAACCAATATGGTAGGTTCTACGCCTACACCGACACGTGTAGTTTCATGACCTAATGAGGAAAAGTATCCAAGGTCAATCTCGGTGAACTTAAGTAACTCCCAAAACCTTTACATTTATCGATGATGATGCTCATAGCCAAATCAACTATTTGAGAATAGCTAAATCTAAGATTTTTCACAACTCATGCATTTTCATTTCAAAAATACTACAAGTGCTATTCCTCCTTCATTTAGTTTTAAAATTAAAATAAAATATTTCAAGAAAATAATTCATAGCACTTAAATCTTTTATAATGCAAGAAGTGGTACAATTCCAACTCGCTCGTCCCCACAAGCTAGGACTCCCATTTAGAATTTTTATTTAATCGCGTTTGATATGAGTTTGACGAAAAGCTCCGAGGGTAGTAAGTTTCAACGTCCCTCATATCGTTTCCAACCTTAACCCAAATTATCTAATGATGTCGAAGAGTCACAATCTACATATAGGAGCTCACATTATTTAATAATGCGTCACAACAATACCAACTAATCCAACTAAGTGTCTAACACTTAAGTCCAATTTCATATGTTTAGCAAAAAATTCTATTTAATCATTTGAAGGGCAATCCTTGAATTTTAACTCCAACTCATTCATTAAACTTGTTATGGGATCTAGTCGTTCCACTAGAAACTCAAAATAACATCGTTCAAGCAAGACCCAACATTATTCATCATCCCTACCAACCAACTCTTCAATTTCAAGACTAGCTTCTAGTTTCATGAATAGATGTTTAAGTATAAATCTATCTTCATAAATATACTCTACTATGTCCATGGAGTATAGTACATAAGATTGAACTGAATAGATTACCTTTTTGTCAAATCGTAGAACTTTGAAGATTTGAGTTCTTGAGATATTCTTCAATAATCTATAATCTCCATATATTGAAGAGTTAAGAGATGTATTTAATGGACAAAATCTACCAAGAAGGGCATTAAATTCTTACCTTAAAGATATATTAATGGTAGAGAGCTCCTCCTTCTCTCTAAACCTCAAGACAAAGTCCCAAATAATATAACTTCTCTCTCTACGAAATGCCTATAAAAGCTTCAGATGTGGGTTTTAAATTTCGGATGCCAACTTGGATGCCTTCGCTGCGCTGCGCTTCACTGCCACACGCTGGGCTCCAAAATAATTGGACGCAACGCTCCAACCGCAACGTCAATCCCTGAAGCGTGAGCTTTTTATTTAGTTTATCTTCTTTCAAATTTATCCCAACTTAATATGTTGTGACTTTGTCTCCCCCATTTATTATCCTTGTCCCATTTGTCTCCTTGTTAGCCAACAATTTTTCAAATTTCTAATTCTATTTTCGTTGCCAACTGAATGTTAGGATTTTAACTCCTTGTTTTCTTATTAAATTTCAATTCTTTCCCATAATTTTAGCTTTTATGTCATAGAAGCTTGATATATCCCAAATGTATTTGGTGACCTTGTAATCTCTGCTAATTCAATAGTCAACTATTGACATTATCCCGAAGCATTCTAATAACTTTGTTCCTACTCAAATAACCATGTAGCTCAGATTTAATTAAATTATATTCTTAAGTCCTAAATTAGCCCAAATTAAATTATAAAAATTTACGGGGCTTTACATTCTCCCTCACTTAAAAATATTCGTCCTCGAATGTGAATCTTTAGTCACATTTAAATCAAAAAGTTTACCATCCAAGTTTTTCTTTGCTTGCAAATCCTTAAAACCTCAAAATTTGACTAACTCTCCAAATTCTAAAAATTTCGGCAAAATTTTCTTTGTTTCTAGGCCTACCCAAATTTTTTATCCGCCAGTAACCATGAGAATACAATATAGAATGCCCCGCACGACTCTACTCATCACAACTACATCAATTAATCACTTGCCTCATGGAAGTAAGATATGATAAACTCTACACTCAAAATTTCTAAAAAGTAGTCATACCTGAAGTCGCGAATAAGTGTGGGTATCAGATTTTCATATCTTCCTCGATCTCCCAAGTAGCCTCCTCAACGTCATGATTACACTATAAAACTTTAACTGAAGCTATGTATTTAGTCCTTAACCTACAGACTTGCCTATTAAGAATCTCAACTGGTTCTTCGTCATAAGTTAAACCATCGTTCATTTCTACTACCTCCGGTGAGATGACGTGAGCATATACCCCCTGTAGCATTGATACATGAAAAATAGAATGAACCGAAGTCATCGATGCAGGTAACTCTAGCTTGAGGCTACTTCAACAATCCTTTCCTAGATTCGATATGGACCAATGAATGTAGTACTTAGCTTTGCCTTCTTCCTAAATCTCATAACGCCCTTCATTGGATATACTTTCAAGAACACTTGATCACCCTCTTTAAACTCCAACTTACATCGATGTACATCTATATAGCTTTTTTGTCAGCTCTGAGTGGTCTTAAGCCGTTGTTAAATCAAAGCCACCTTCTCTAAGGCATCATGTACGAGATCTGGACCAAGTAGTCCTATTTCAGTCGGCCCAAACCATCCAATGGGTGATCTACAACATCGTTTGTACAAAGCCTTATAGGGAGCCATTTGGATTCTAGCACGATAGCTATTATTGTAGGCAAATTCAATCAGAGGTAAGTGTTCATCCCAATTCCCACCAAAATCAAGGAAACACTCCCGCAACATATCCTCAAGCATCTAAATAGTTCTATCAGCCTCTCCGTCAGTCTATGGATTAAAAGCGGTACTCAAATTGACACTTGTACCCAATCCTTCTTGAAAGGACTGCCAAAAATGAGCAGTAAACTGGGCCCTTCTATCAGATATAATGAAAACTGGAATACCGTGAAGTCTGACAATTTCTATCAAGTACAACTTAGCATACTGTGGTGTCGTGTTAGTCATCATTACCTGTAAGAAATGCGCCGACTTTGTAAGTCGGTCTACAATCACCCAAATTGAGTCATGCTTCAAGCGAGTGCGAGGCAAACCCACAACAAAGTCCATATTAATCATCTCCCACTTCCAAAGTGGAATCTCAATATTCTGAGCCAATCTACCAGTTCTTCGATGCTCGACTTTACTTGTTGGCAATTTAAACATCTAGCCACGAAGTCCGAAATGCTTTCCTTCATTTAATTCCACCAATAGATCTCCCGCAAGTCCTTGTATATTTTTGTGGACCATAGATGTATAGAATATCTCGAGCTGTGTGCCTCAACCATAATTTCATTATGAAGTCCATCAATATCTGGCACGCACAAGCGACCGTTCATCTTCAGCACCCCATCCTCATCGAGAGAAAAAGAAAGGATATCGTTAGACTGTACACCATTTTGAATATTAACCAAATCAGGATCTTCAAATTGCTTAGCTTGGACACGCTCAATAAGAGAGGAACGTGCTAAGGCACAAGCGTCTATCCTTTTAGCTATCGCTAAATGTGCCAAAGTACCTCATGACTTTCGGCTTAGCGCATCGGCTAACGCATTCGCCTTTCTCGGATGGTAATGAATGCTTAAATCATAATCCTTCAATAGTTCTAACCATCTCCTTTGCCTCAGGCTTAATTCCCTCTGCTTGAATATATATTGCAGGGTTTTATGGTCGGTGTATATTTCAGAATGCTCACCGTACAAGTAATGCTGCCAAATTTTCAAAGCAAACACAACCACAACAAGTTCCAAGTCATGGGTTGGATAGTTCTTCTTATGGATCATCAACCGTCTAGAAGTATAAGCGATAACCTTACCTTTTTGCATCAAGACACAACCCAACCCAACTCTAGAGGCATCACAGTAGACCAGAATGTCACCCACCCTATTGGCAATGTCAACATCGGCGCCACAGTCAATCTAGCTTTCAACTCTTGAAAACTTCTCTCACAAGCATCTGACCACTAAAACTTCGTAGCTTTCTACGTCAACTTGGTTAATGAAGATGCATGAGTAGAAAATCCTTCAAGAAACCGCCGATAGTAGCCCACTAATCCCAAGAAACTACGGATCTCTGTCGGTGTATTTGGTCTAGGCCAACTCTTAACCACTTCAATCTTTTGAGGGTCAAACTTAATACCTTCATGCGATACCACATGACCCAAGAATGCCATGAATTCGAGCCAAAATTCACACTTAGAGAATTTGGCATACAACTTATGCTTCAAAATTGTCTGCAACACTATTCTCAAATAATTGGCATGCTCCTCTTGACTTCGCGAATATACTAATATATCATCAGTAAAACAATGACAAACCTGTCAAGAAATTGTTTGAAAACCCGATTCATTAGATCCATAAAGGTTGAGGGTGCATTTGTTAAGCCAAATGACATAACAAAAAATTCATAATGCCCGTAGTGGGTCCAAAAAGCCATTTTAGGAATATCCTTCTCTCGGATTTTTAATTGGTAATACCCTGACCTTCAATCAATTTTCGAGAAGTACTTCGCCCCTTGCAACTGGTCAAACAAGTCATCTATCTGAGGTAGTGGGTACCTATTCTTGATGGTCACTTTGTTAAGTTTCCTGTAGTCAATACACATCCTCAAAGAACCATCTTTCTTTTTCACAAACAGCACTAACTCACCCCAAGGAGATACACTAGGTCTAATAAACCCCCTTTTCTAGTAAATCTTTCAATTGCCCCTTTATTTCTCTTAACTCGGCTGGAGCCATTAGGGGAATAGATATTGGTTGCGTATCTAGCACCACATATATCCCAAAAGTCGGTAACCCTATCTGGTGGAATACTCGGAAGCTCATCAAGAAGAATATCAGAAAACTCATTAACAACTGGCAAAGACTAAATGCTTGCTACTTTCGCAGTTGTGTCAGTCACTCTGACTAAATGATAAAAACATCCCTTCGTGATCATCTTCTTCGCCTTAAGGTATGAAATAAACTTACCTCGAGGCTCAACAATATTTCCTTTCAACTCACGAACTGACTCATTAGGAAACTCAAACTTGACCACTATAGCACGACAATCAAGAATGGCATAACACTTGTGTAACCAATCCATCCCCATGATCACATCAAAATCAACCATTTCTAGCTCAATGAGGTATTCCATAGCTCTCGATCTTGAATTATAATCACACAACCCCTATAGACGCGGGAGGAAATAACAAAATCTCCCACCAGAGTCGACACAGAAAATGGTTAAAGTAGTTGTTCTAGCTCTATCCCAAAATGAAAAGCAAAGTACGGAGTAACATAGGAAAAAGTAGATCCAGGATCCATAAGAGCATAAGCATTGAGATCACAAACAGTAAGCATACTTGTGACGACAGCATCTGAAGCCTCTGCAGCAGGGCGAGTAGGCATGGCATAGAAACGATGATGAGTCCCCTGAGAAGTAGCAGTTGTCTGCGGCACCTTTCCTGCATTGCCCACTGTGGCCCCCATTGCCCCTAGGTGGGGGCGGTGCAACCGATATAGTAGCCATAGAAGATGTCGTATGAGCTCTCGAACCCTGTTGCCCGTTAGGATAAAACTTTCAGATATGACCCGTCAACTCGCAACCATAGCACGGACCACGGGGTCCCCTGGTAATACTAGACTGGCGCTGATGAGAACCCACACTACTTTGAGCCTGCTGTGCAGTACGGTGGTCACTCTGAACGGGCCTAGACTGGCCTCCTGGTCCGGAACTGTATGCCACTAGAGGGCTACTAAAAGTTGTCTGCATCCCAGACTGCTGTGGTCCAGATGCCCTTCTGCTGCTTTGACCCTTGCCCGATCTAGGCACTGCACTGAAAGTACCAAAAGTCCGGGCCTTTTTGTTCTGCTCCCTATTGGCCCTCTCCTCCTAATGAATCCTCTCGAGATCAATTGCTAGATCCACAAAGTCAGTAAAGGTAGTGTTTCTTCTCCCACTAGTTGTAGCTTTTCTGATGCCCGGAATCAAGCCACGAGAAAAGCAATCAATCTTTTTATCCTCAGTGGGGATGAAGTGGGGAGCATAACGTGATAACTTCTCGAATTTGATGCTATACTCTAGGACGGTTATGGTATCCTTCTTTAAGGTCTCAAACAATATCGCAAGTTCGGCTCTCACTCCCGGTGGTAACCACTTCTTAATGAAGATATTCTTAAAATCCGCCCAAAATATTGGAGGTTCATTCTCCAATTGACTTTTCTCTACCCCTTTGAACCAGAGGTCAGCAATGTCTTTCAACTGGTAGGCTGCAAGCGAACCACCCGGTAGTCTTTAACTCCCATCAAAGTAGTGGCTTTCTCAATTTCCTCCAAGAAGTCCTGAGGGTCTGCAGTAGGATCCGTA